TCACATATTATCCAAAAAACATTTTCACCTTCCCAGTTACAGTCGTTTTTTTACGTCAGATTCCACATTTCGAGAAACCATTCATGCGAATTATCAGCTCTAGAAGCATCGTAAATTTCGAGATTCATTTAGATAAACCGATGCAGAAGTGGCACTCATTTCCAGCCTGTTATTCAGCTCACGTGTATTTTTTCCATCTAACTCGTTTTTTTACGCTCAATTCATGAACCGCGTGACTTCGGGCTGAAGAATGTGCGTCGCACGGTTACACGGAAGGGAGGTTTTGTTCAAACTCTTCAGTATTTCTCGTGTCCCATAATTGCAGCACAGTCCCTAGACCATTAAACGTACATGTGAAACTTAAGGATAAGGATAAAGGATAAAGCATTTGCCGTTGATCAATCCCGTCTTTGGGATGCGGCACGCATTCTACTTCCATTTGTACATTCGTAGTGGCGTTTGAATGCGATGTGGCCTATACAATGACTTGCGGGGGCCAGCCGATGTTCAAGTCAGTGTTTTTATCCTCCCAGACAAGTCTGGTACCAATTAACCGACCCCGGAGGGATGGAAGGCTTGGTTGGCCCGGGCGACTCACGACCCAGGATTTGATCCCCGGACCGCTCGCGTGGTGAGCGTGCCACTTGCCACTACACCACTTCCGCCCTACATGTGAAACTTGGTTTCAATATTGATTGTTGCTGAGAAAAAAATGAAAAGGAGAGGACGACGGAAGACATAACAGTTTTGGAATATTTCGCTTGACTGGTTTCCTTTTGTTCAGTAGACCTCACTGGTGCAAATCAAGCAAGCAAACAGGAAAATGTTTGATTTTGGCAAAACTCAAAATCAAGAGGACACGGAGAAAATGGCAAAATTTCCCTCGAATATCTCGTATTTAGAGTACTCTGTTACTTTGCTACACAAAACGATTCAACTTTAACCACATTACAGTAAATGAAGTTGCCTACAAATTCAGGTAGCACAATGCTTGCTCGTTCTTGCACCCAACCCCAAGGACACGCATCGACGTTGGGCCGGAACTTACAACACCACTATTAACGCCTCCACCCAGCGACACAGGTATTTTTATTATGGTTCTCCTATCTAGCACGTCAAACTTCATAGCAAGAAAACTCAAAAGGCTTGCGGACCGCATATCCCACTTTCTTGGAAACAAAATGAAAAATGACGATTTACAAATAATCTGTGACATTTTAGCTAGCCACTACACCTCCATTTGTGGGAATTCCTCCAGCCCTTCCTTCTCCTACAATTACAATGCGTGAGGATATTATGTTCAATTTTTCCAAGAAATGTTTCCGACACAATTTCCTTGAATGGCTCATGAAATTTAACGCTAAACTCACGCCATTCAGAACCTCCCACTACTACAACACCACTATCACCTCTAGCTCCATTACTGAGCTGAGCCTTCTAAATGGAGGCGCTCCTCCAATCAGTTTACCGACTCTTCCTCCTCCGCCGACCACCACAACAACTCCACCTATAGACATTTGCCGACTACCACCCTTGACAGGCACCTGTCGTCACGCCAGGATTATGTGGTCAGTAAAAAAGTTGAAGTCATCAGTAAATTCCTACTAAATCTACTGCGATGCTTCCTAAGAAAGCTACTCTTTTAGGTACTATGACAACGAAACAGGGATGTGCGAGCGTTTCAGCTTCAGCGGTTGCCGGAAACCTCAACCGATTCCCGAGCAAAATGCAGTGCGAAATGACGTGTCTCCGACGGGGTCGAAAATAAAAGGAAATAAATATTACCAGCCATATATGAGAATACACCACAATAAATGCATCAATTTCCGAGTACAAATTGGTACCAAAACTCACTTATGGTACGTGTCAATGAGAACACTTCCGACGGAACTCAGAAGCGATCCGGCTCGTAGAACGTCCTCGTAGTCGCTGTTCTAAACGATAGAGATATGTGAGCGTGACTATATTTGAAAATGAGATGGACATATGCAGTATATGAAAAGTAACAATGTGGTAGTAAAGTACGCAAGCAACCTTAAACAATGCTTTGTCCTGTTTTCAGAAAGAAAAAAAACTAAAGGAAATATTATATTTTGTTTCGCGAACATGAAACATAAACGTACCGGATTGACATTGATGAGATTGTTGTTTCGCATAACGTCTGTCAAAGCAGTAACCAGTGATAGTTTCTTTGAGGGTGGCATACCTTTTTGAATCAGAGCAGAGACAGCACGCACAGCCGCCTAAGCACCAAAAGATTGCCATTTCATAATTTTAACACATTTGAGTACCCAAAATAGCCAGAAAAAAAACGTATTGAAGGACTTGTGCAAATACAAGAATTGCGAGGAAACGGAGACGACAGAGGAAGCTAGCCCAATAACTTTAACCCTCACCTCGGATATTTCCTTATTTCCCAGTCGAGCAATTACAAGCGGCACAAACACATCATTGGCGACAAGTTCGACATCGATCCAATCAACAAATGCTGCAACGGCGTCAAGACAGAGGCATTGTGCTGTCACATCCGAGCAGCGTTCCTGTCAAAACGAACGCTCACAAAATTAATAGGTCACGAACTAACAAGGTGCAGAAAAACCAATTTAAAAATTCTTAAAACTTCTGCAACTTCACAAAAACAGAGCGCCTGGTGGCGGTCAAGAACATACCAATATTGTCCACCAACTTTGTACTATTTGAGATATGCACAAATCACGCATGAAATCTTTGATTTTGGTATTACGATCGAAGATCTGAAGATAAAGTTGAGGAAACTCTATTCAGAAGTCAATGGGATGGAAAAAGCAAAATGAACAGAACAACTCACGGTTTTTGTTCTTTGTATATCACGATCAACGACTTCTGAATCGATAGCCAGAAGAGTCTTCAGATAAAACACTACCAATGGTACACTGTCTAATCCACGTGAAAGGAAACTGAAAACGAATTCTCCCTTTGTATAGCTCTGATCACAATATATTGAAAGAGTACAGCGAAATAGAAAGAATGGCAGCCTTGAGGCTACCTTCATATCTCGCAACACTGTGGAAAAATTTCGAGGAGCCCCATTACCCGCACTAACCATAGCAAAGCGAACTGCGAAGGTAGACCAACAAAACCTTTTCGGAAAACAATGCATCACCAGACAGAGAATCGAATTTCACAAACTCACATATCGTCCATAAAAGTAGGCCACCTATCCGGGAAATCCGCGGCAAATACAAGAGAGAAAATATGAGCCATTTTATTGATGAGAAAACTTGGTTGATCAGGTCGAGTAGAAAGCTTCTGAAACTTTGCGTTGAACTCGTCTCTTTTTTTGAGAAATAGTGCGGACCAGAGCCATGTTTCGCTCGTTAAGAATGTCCCTTGAGAAATATAGGAATACCTGAATCCAATGAGAAAGGAGGTTACGTATGCACATGACACTATCCGCGTCCGCACCGGCATAACGTCGAGCAAGGTAGTCTTCAATAACTTGAAGAAGTAGAAAATGCTCTTCGTCGGTGCTGGAAATATAATAATTTGAATACCCTAAAATCCCATAGATAAGAGCGGTTTAATTTACCGGTGAAAAATGAATTGGAATGAAATTGAAATTGAATGCAGTCACCCCTCTAACTTGATGGATGGATAAATAAAAATCGGAGAAGAAGTTTAGAAGAAGCTCCGTCCCTCAACTCTAAACCCCGCCCACTTAATAAACAATTCATATAGAAAAATAGCGATTTTAACGGAATTTCTGCCGGAATCTCTCTAGAAATGCCGGAATTTGATCTCTGGATAGAACTTGAAGAGCCCATTCGATCAGTAAAATTCCATAGATAAGAGCGGTTTAATTTACCGGTAAAAAATGATTTTGAAAAAATATTTTTATTTTTATTTTATTTTTGAAAAAATATCTATGGACCGCTCTTATCTATGGGATTTTAGGGTAATAAAATGCCGACAAGTACACGATTGGACTGCCAAAACATTGTTGTAACTTGAGCAACCAGATTCATATTATTCTTTTCATATTATTCACTTATTTTAGTCCAGAATTCCAATTTTACAGTTTCAGATGTATTTGAATGGGCTCGCTAGCTCAACTCACAAGGGATCTATAGCCCAGATTACAATTCTCTTTTAGCCTCTCACTTTTTCAAACTCATGACAATCAATTTCGGTTCCGTTTGTTCATAGTGTCTAGTCACCGAACCCTCAAATCTCAACGATGACGGAGCTCACGAATTTGAAACGAATCCAATCCATTATACATATATGCTGCACTTCCGACAATTGACTCCATTTCTCGAAGCCACGTCGCAATGCGAATGGATACTCATTCGTTTTGCAACAATGTAAAACTGATCTTATTGAGGAATGATGAGGGTTCTCTCACTCGAGCAAAGCACATATGTATATGACGACAAACGAAAAATAAGAGCAGCCGATAAAGGGAAGAAAAGATTTACCTCAGGTTGTTCGCAATGATATTATCTGTGGATTTTCGCCATCCATTTTCATCGGTTTTGAGGGTTTCAAGGTAGTGGTAAAGCTAAAAGAAATAATCACCTTCGAAATAATATGAAAATCTGACCCTTTAACTGTGTTAATCACAAAGTAGTAACCATAGCTGAACCATAGTGAACCAAACCCAAATCTTCTGATCATTTAAGAAGTGTAGAGAATAATAACATCCTAACGAAGCGTTTTGTGAAGTTTTAGCTGTGTTAACACTGACATGTATTTCAGAGAGGTCACACAAACGGTATTTTAAGGGTTGTATGCTATCCTTCCCCGAAGCTAGGTGACCCAAAGTTCCCCTTTAAATTTATTTGCTTTGAACGATGTAGTTTCTTCATTTTCAATGCATGTTTACTTTAACCTACATACATACATTAAATGTAGGCCCTTTATCAGGGCAATCCCAGTTGGGAAGACAGAGAAAATTAAAGGAATTTTCGTCCCCTAACCCCTTCGGGGAGGATAGCATACGGCCCTAAGAAAAAAGAAAACAGTAATTTGGAATGAAAAAGATATCAGTAAGCATGACATTAAAGCGTAAGGAAGTTCAATAATGATAACAGTTTTTAAGTCAAGATATCAGAACCCAAGGAAAACTATCTGAAAGAAATGAAATAGGTTGCATTAAATGATCAAGACTGATACCTGTGCTTGCCTGGCCGGATCGTTGATTGAACCAGGAGCTCCGAATGGATTGCCATTCAAGGAATTGTTAACCGCAGTCATTCTCGACTAACGTCGTCGAGTAAATATGCTAACGGGAAAACAAGAAAGAATGACTTGTTTCTTTCAGACTTTGAGTTTTCAGCTGCCAGCTCATGCAGCATACTACCAGTGCCGACACAATTTCAGCAGTGATCACTGCGAAAGCATTTGATACGACAAAATCCTGAAAACAAAAAGTATTAGAAACTGAATTCGCACATATGTGAGCAAAATTCATTGACATGACGATAAGATTTGGTAAAAAGCGATCTGTTTGGATACATTTGTTAAAAACGGATCTGATCAAGCTGAAAAAAGGTTCAATCTTTAAAAACACAGTCAACAGTAAGAACAAAAGGGAAACCAAAATGTGTCGCTTTCGACGATTACTTTTGCCTGCTTCAAATGCTTTGAGTGACGACTACTGAAATCTAGAACTTTCAGTGATACAAAAATAACAAGAAAGTCCACAAGAAAGTCTGCTGAACATTTCAAATAACAAGGCTAAGATTATGGCGAATTACGTAACCTGATGCAGTTTTTTTTGACAGTGCACTATTTTCAGTCGCACGCAATTTCCGTTGGAAGCGCTGCGGCTCGCGCGGGAGAATGAAAATGAGTAGTGATTGACTGAATGATTTTCATGGGTGCTATACAAGTAGGGTGGGCACGTCGCATTTTTTGAACAGAAG